TGTTCAACATCATCAGTATTTAAAGAAAAGTAAGTTACTAAATAAAAAAATTTAAGCTATTGCATTGACAATGATTAAAATGCTAATATACTTGACATTGGTGAGGTTGAAATAATTGGGACCTTTTATCTGGATAGAAGATGTATACATTGATAAAATAAGGAAAGTAATTTCCAATTTATTAAAAAAGCATTAAAAGTATATATACCCATTAATCTAGAAATTTCATTTCTAGAAGTTGTATCTTAAGAAATCACTTAAGAAAATGGTCACAAAATTTAGCAACAAGATTAATTATTGAAATGTTACATTTATAAGTGAAAATAGAAATTACCAAATATGCAAAAATATAAATAATAGTTACATAAATTATGATAAATCTATAAAGTAGAATAACATTAAACCACTAAAAATGATATTGTGCATAACATTTGTGGATATAGAGTATGTTTAAGATACATTAAGTGATAAATACAAAGCTTGAAACAATATAACAGTAAGATTTGTTTTTGTTTAAAATTATCTATTTAGTTACCTACCTACCTATCAACTTACCTTAAAAAGTCTATAAGACTATTTATCATGATGCTAATGTTAATAACCATCAGATGGTGTTTTTTCATTTTTATTATGGTTTATTATTATTGTGCATAATATATTCTTATTCTAATATTATCTAGTATTTTTTAAAGATAAACAATTATTACTTTTACAAGATAAAAGCAAATATTATTTAAGGTAAAAATGTGTATATTTTCTCTCTTCTGTACAGTATACCAAAAAGGCAATATGCTTTTTTATAAAAGTAGTTTTACATTTGAATTAGAAAATGAGTACAAAAAAATGGTTTGTTGGTAATTACCAGAATAAACACTACAAATGACCTGGGAATAAGGAAACCCCACTAGTAATTTGAAAGCTAAAATTAAAATGAGATCCTCTTTATTTATAGCCCAAATAGACAAAAGATTTGTAAAAAAGAGAGTATTAATTCTCTATGGCAGCCAAAGTTTAGGGCTCTGAGCTCTCTTGTATAATTAGAGATGAAAACAATATTTCTAGAGAGCATAACAAGGCATAATGAAAGTATAATATAGTGTACGCTATGTGGCCTGGACATTTCCTTTCTCAGAATTTCTATAGAGATATAGTTACGGATATGCATAAATATGGATGAGCATTACAATATTTTTCATAATAGTGAAAACTGGAAAAATATTGTGTGTTCAAAATATATTGGTCTAGCCTCAAAATGGACTAGTACTCAAACATTAAATGGGATTTTTGGAATAATATTTAATGTTATGGGACAGGTTCATAATACACTGGAAAGTGAAATGAAATTGTTCTTTTTCTGTTCCGTTTTAATACTGGAGGATGTATTTTTGATGTCATGTACCAAATGACTTATACTCTTGCCACATTTGATATTAGATCATTTGCGGAAGGGGGTGGCGGTACTGAGGATTGAACTCAGGGGCACTCGACCACTAAGCCACATCCCCAGCCCTATTTTGTATTTTATTTAGAGACAGGGTCTCACTGAGTTGCTTAGCGCCTCCCCTTTGCTGAGGCTATCTTTGAAATCGCCATCCTCCTGCCTCTGGGATTACGGGTGTGTGCCTCTGTGCCCAGCATGATACTAGACCATCTTAAAACACTTGTTGATGCCTTACTGATGTCTGTAACAGTAGCTCTATGCCTTTCTCTCATCTCCCCTTTTTAATTTATATGATGATTCTACCATTGGAAAAATCTTTATTTAAAAAAGAAAGCAGCACTGGTAAGTAGTACTCTACATTCCTGCCATACAGAACATTAGTGTGAGCACTATGGACACAGACCAAGGATCTTAACTTGAAAATGCAATGAGAATTCAGAAAAAAAAAATAACTATTTCATCTATTGGTCGTCTTGATTAATTTAAATTTGCAATGCTGAAATACTTTTGGGGGTGCCTGGTCATTAAAAAGACTTGGATAGGGAATGGAATAACATGAAAGTAGAGCATGGATTTTGGAACAACCTGCAGATTACAAGTCACCCCTATAGTCACCTAGGTTCAGCTGTTTCCTCTCAAACATACAGAAGCAAGCCACGTTGTGGGTGAGCCCTTGTCCTTTTTGGATGATATGCTGGGCTCTATTGTTCTGTTCCAGTTACAAACTGTCTCTGTGCCCCTTTCTTCATCTAAAAAATGGGCCTAAAGATAGTGCCTACATCACAGGGATGTTATGAGGTTTAAATTAGTGTATTTAAAGGCCTTAGAGTATGCATGGTAAGCTCTCAATATACACTAGCTGATATGATAATTTTTATTAGTACTATTGCTATATTGGGGTAAATGGGAGATCTAACTATTAGTTTTCAGTTGCTTTAAATATTTAATAAAATTGAGTGACTTTTATAATATTTGCTTGCTTGCTCACGTACTGTACTTAACTATATTTCTATGATTCTTTTGCCTTGGAATCTTGAAAACCCCAAAGATAGAGAATCCATGAGGCTGTAGAAGCCAAGAGGAAGAGACAGGCAGAAAGAGCAGGGAGTCAGGAAGGGAGGAGGGAGCAGAGAACAGCTCACAGTGGCAGAACAGGCCTGGGGCTGTGGAAACCTGGTTCTGAAAGACAGTGCGATACCTGGAGCCAAGCTTTGTGGTAGCTGCTCTGAATGACTGCCTTGCCCTGCTTTTCTGGAATTTAGCTTTTTCTAGTGGCCTGACTTCCCTGTCACTACAATAAACCTTTATCATCTGAGCAAACACAAAGGCAGCTTTGAAATTTGCCAAGTATACATGACCCATATGTGAACAATTTAAAATACACCATAGATATCTCCACTGAATTTCTAGATGTGCTTGGTGGCCCTCTCAACGTTTCTATGTGGTGGCTTCTTGATCTTGTTTGGAGTCAAACTGCAGCTTGAGTCTTTATCCAGCCCTTTGGATGACAATATAAATTTTGGATTTTGACAATATAAATTTTGACTTTAAAGATTTGGTCTAAAGACTTGGTCTCAATACTAAATCTGAACTTCCCTGTTGATGAATCAGAATTGTGAATAAGTTCCTCTCTGCCATCGTCATAGTCCAGGGAATTAGCTCAACTGACAGGGAGATCAGACCCTTGACAGCTGGGCAGTGATACAGCTTGAGTAGTGGGCTGTTGGATTGATAGCAAGACGGTGTATGCAGGAGGAATTTAGGAAGTAAAACCAATAGGATACCAGGATTAAAAGAGAGGGCAAAGTCTAGGGTAATTTCCACCTCTTTGTCTTGGCTGTCTGGAGAGACTATGAATAAGGAGGTTTTTCCACCAAGAGTCGAATCGATACATTTGGCAGATTTGGGGGACATTCAGGTAAAGTTTTCCAGTAGTCACTTGGAAAATTCGATTTCAAAAATTCAGATCAGGGCTGGAGTTGTGGCTCAGTGGTAGAGCGCTTGCCTAGCATGCGTGAGGCCCTGGGTTCAATCCCCAGCACCACATAAAAATAAATAAAATAAAGGCATTGTGTCCAACTACAACTAAAAAATAAATATATAAAAAAAGAATTCAGATCATTTCTTCCTTTCCCAAACTACCAATTAGTTTGAAATAAAGCAAGCAGGTTTGGAGCAGACTGCTCTTTTCTGTTCCCTATTTGCTTATTTTAGGAGAACTGGTGTTCATGCTATCTCAGGAATACACTCTTACATTTTGTGTTGGACTTAGATAAATATATATTATGTGGGGCTCCACTGAGAAGCATCAGAAATCTAAGTTCCAGAAGTTTTTGTTAAAAAAAATAACATATAGCAAGATAGGTGAATACACTGTGCATAAACATAGGAAGTAACACTATGTTTATGCTATGAACAATTGAATTGGTTTCTACAAGAAGAATGCACAAAAACATCAGTTTTGAAATAACTTGGAGCCACAAGAACATATTGTAACACCCCATATCAAACATCATGGTTTGAGAGATTTAATAGACAGCGGCAACAAAATTTGAAATGTGTGACTTCAAAGGCACAAATAGAAGAAAGAGATAATAATTTTAAAAGGATGTGTATGTACCAGTATATATAAAATATGTGTTTTTAATATTTTTATTTCTTCTAGGTGCTTATTGTATGTATGAAATAAAGGAGAAAAAAAGCAGATAAACAACTAAAAAAGTACAGAGAGGCCCAGAAAAAGGAAGAAGATAAAGGTTAAAGCAAAGTAATTAAGTTTTCAAAGAAAAAAGAAGAGTGATAAAATGCCATTTTTTTTCAGAAAAAAAAATATGTAGAAATAAAATAAGCAGATTATATTCATGATAAATGCACACTAAGGAAAGTCTTAGCACTGGAGGAGCCAAAATAGAAAAAGGAACTAAGAATAACAGTAAGAATAGGGCCTTGCTGGTTTGTCATTTTATTCCTTAGAAACTCTCTGACAATAAAGTAGAAGCACAACTCTAGAATACAGACAAAATATAAAATATGCATTAAGTGCAAAAAAAGAAATTCAACCAAAACCTAGAGCCTGTCTTTTGGTGGTAAAAAAAAAAAATGATTTCTCCTGCTTTTTCAATTTCTGAACTTGACCTGATGTATCACGTGAAAACACTCTACTATTACAATGGACAGGAATCAACTCTATCAAAAACGAAGCTCTGAATCCCACTTCCTATAAAATTTAATACAATAGAGTCTTCCTCTGCCGCCAGCTAACTCAGGAACTGAATTCGATGATACTCTTTCCTGTACAATGTATGATACAAACTTTTCCCATGAGGAAGAGGAGCTCTCTCCTGTTATCTGACACATTTATTAGCCTATGTTTCCAATCATCAATTCCAATGGTTCTGTCCACCTAGGGGTTCTGTGCTGTCATTCCCCCCCACCTCTGGGAAACAAGAGGCAAGGGATGCTACTGTTACTCTTTCCCATCTGGGCCTGGTGGGCCTCTGCTGTAGCATTCCTCTGGCTCACTGAGTCTGACAGAGACTGCAGCATTTCATCTGAGAACCTTCAACCTTACACTCCCACTGTTCCTTCTGCCCTCTCACACATGCGTTCCAGAATTCGGTGGATGCTGGGGAAACTGGGCCTGTCTGCAGGCAGCTTGCTCCAACACAAACGCATTAGATTGTACAGCTCCAGGGGGCAGTTCTCAGGGCAGGAGAGGATGTTGCCATCCCGCACATAGTAAATGACCTCCTCGTGGGCCATCCCATAGTAGGGCTGCAGGCCATAGGAGAAGATCTCCCAGAGGACCACACCATAGGCCCACACATCTGACTCTGTGGTATAGCGGTTGTAGAAAATGGACTCTGGTGGCATCCAACGGATAGGGATAGCATCGTTCTCATTAGCTTTGTAGTAGTCTGCTGAGTAGATGTTCCTGGAGAGGCCAAAATCTGCGATCTTCACCACCATGTTCTCACCTACCAGGCAGTTCCTGGTGGCTAAATCCCGGTGGACAAATTTGCGCTCGGAGAGGTAAGCCATGCCCGCTGCTACCTGCCGGGCAATGCAAAGCTGCTCAGCACAGGAGAGGGGTGGGGGTCCTGGACTGGAGACCTGAGCCCTCGTGGACAGGTCACTGTGACTGAGGCTGCAGACAGTGTGAGGGGACATGCTGCGGAGGAACTCGTTGAGGTCACCGTAGGCCATGTATTCAAAGAGCAGGCACATAGGCTTCCCAATAGCACACACACCTGCAACCAAGTAGCACACTCAGTTAGCTGGTTTCCAGAATCACACAATGGAAAAAGCACTCCAAAAGCAAATGACCAGATTGGAAAATATGGGGCCCTATTTTTTTTTTTTCTTTGTTGACAGCATTATGGTCAAACCTTGACCCTCCTCCTTTGTTTAAACATCTCCCTGTTTACCTTTGAAGATTCAACTTCTTTGTTATCCTTCTTAGGGGGGCCTCAGCTCCTGACCTTCCAGTCTCAGATTTTGCTTCTAATATCTTTCAACATAGTACCTACCTTCCCATTTTTTCAAGATTTGTTCATTTGAGATTTTTCCCCAATATTTTAGCACTCGGCAAGGAGAGACTATGTCTTATTCCTCTTTAGATTCCCCATGTCCCCCCACGTGTCTGGCTAACCAGGTGCTCCATGTTTGGCGAGTGAGTTCATGAATGGATGTTTGCTCTCAGTAGGTGACGTAATTGCTCAGTTTCTGTTTACTTCTCTGAAGAATTATAATGAGGAAGATGTATCAAGTTTGGAAAGAATAACAAAAACGATCCAAGATATCCTCGACCAAGTATTTAGAAAGCTATAGTAAAATATTTTGAAATTTAGGCATAAATAGAGTTTTAGAGTTAATGCCAGGAGGACATTTGCAGATCTTAGGACTGCTATATTTGATAAGGAAGCCGGAGAACTTGGAATATTAGATCAGATGGGCATAATTTCACATCACCATAAAAATAGATTGTTAGATTTATTATTTTTTCAGGCCAAAATTAGAAGCTTATTTTTTTAAAAAGGGACATAAGAAATAATGTTATCTTTATTTATTTATTTTGGAGTTATTTTTTAATTCCAGGGGCTATAGCAATCAGCATATTTGAGAAAATTAAAGCAATGTCAACTGGATCTAATTGAAGATTTCTTCTATAAGATCATCTTTAGTCAACAGGGATTTACCTACCTCATCAACTGGTGTTACCACTGTTAACGCCAGTTGAATTGATTTTAAAAGAATTCTTATTTGGGGAAAAAATAATGACAGTGGGATTTTCTGAGAAAAAGAAATCTTCTGGAACTGAGGTTATTTAATGAAATGTTTTACTTCTTCATGCAGAAAATATTATATAGAAAATTTCTACTTTATGATGGTTATAAACAATTATATATTCATGTATATTATATGTAATTTATAATTATGCATGTGAAAAAAATATGTATATATTTAAGAGTTCAAAATGTTTTATATATTGTGATAACTCCAACCCCATTCTTAGTTGGGACTTCAAAGTAGAATCAAACTCTTAAGAGAAGGATTGTTTTCACTCTTGTAACTTCAGGCCTAGTTCTCTGCCTGGCTCCCTGTGGCCTTTCAATATAAACTTCTGGGTGAATGGATTTAAAGATGGAGAGGTGAATGGGTATAAGAAAACATCATGCCTATTCCAACCCATGTCTTTCAATACTAATGTGACATCTTCAACAAATCATCTTGTGTCATCGTGCTATTTCCTCAACTAGAATATTGGGTAAGAGTCTATAATTTCTAATGCCTCTTACTTTTGAAAAATTCAGCATAGCCTTGCATTTATACCCATCTCAAATTTACAATTACAAAACCATTATTTACTAGGATTTCAATAAAACAGAATCAATTTTTAAAACACAAACATGTTCAATGAGTGCCTGATAGTCTACATGTGTGAAACAAAGCAACTTTCTTTCATTGAAGGTAAATGTTATAGATTTTTCCAATTCTCCTTTTACCATTGTCATCTCATTTAGATGGTACTAACTTCCAAGAAACTGTGAGGCTGGTGGAACCACATGCATGAATGATTACTGCTTATGTACACTTAAGTAAAAGCAGACCCTGTGTTTATAGGTTGTTGATGTGGAATTTGAAGATGGCATTTAGCAAACGGTAATATAAGTCTGAGTTCTTGTTGGGCAATAAAAATGAGGGAAAACTCTTAGTAGTGATGTTTAAACATGCCACCACAGTAATCACAAATTTGCAAATTGCACATAGTTTGTCTTTGAATCAATCCCAGGAATTCTAGATGTTGTAAAATTGTAACTACTTATATATAAATGCAGAGTCGACATTTTTAAGGAACAGTAAAACACTATTCTGCAACAAGAAAATATCTTGCTTTGGTGCTCATTGCATATTATTTCCAAAGGCTATTCAGTTACACAAAATTCAAGGAGCAAACTGTATTTATCTCTTGTCAGTACCTCTTTCAAAATCTAGTGCCCTATTTCCTATGCCTGATAGATGTTGACCTCTCGGGACCATGTGGTAAGAGGAACTCAGCTCTCCTCACTGATCATCAGCAATTCCTGATCGTCCCAGGTCACCATGTTTGACTGAGACTCAGAGATAAACCATCTAATTTAAAATGCACTCTTAGTCATGGTTTTGTGAAAGCTGGATTTGAAGTGGCCATAAACATCGAACAAGCAATAGACAATTGAAACCTGAAGTTAAGAGAGAAAGTAGAGATTTTGATTGTTGAGTTATCAAAATATTAGGGAGAGGGTCTGGGCCTGTCCAAGAAGAGTGGTTTGGAGGAATTGTGTAGAATAAGATGGGCAAGAACAGAATCCTTGGGCATACTGATTCTTGGAGTTGGGGGTGGCAATAGGTCAGGGGAAGAAGAGCCCTTGATCAGGACTAAGGGTGGAGGAAACTCCACGTTGCCCCCAGGGTCATTTTACAGTCCTTCTCTCACTGCATATAACCTGCTCACTTTCAACTTTTAGAAATCCTTCCTATGGAGCCTAGAACACACCTTCCCCCACCTCCACATTTTTATTGGTGGGTAATAGTTGCACATAATGGTGGAGTTTGTTGTTACATATTTTGTACATGCACACAATATAACAATATAATTTGGCCACTGTCATTCCCCCGTATTTCCCCTTTCCTTCTCCTCCTCCCTCCCCCTGGTCCCTTTTCTATTGGTTGCTCCTTTTCAGTCTGTTTTACTGTTCGTATCATTTTCACTCTAAATGTTGCAGTGCTGCAGGGCTGAGTCCTTGGACCTCTTTTCTTTTGCTGACTTCCTTTTCCACTCCTTAAGTGTCTTTTTTTTTTAATATTTATTTATTTTTTTAGTTCTCGGCGGACACAACATCTTTGTTTGTATGTGGTGCTGAGGATCGAACCCAGGCTGCACGCATGCCAGGCGAGCACGCTACCGCTTGAGCCACATCCCCAGCCCCTCCTTAAGTGTCTTAGTCTCATGACTTTAAATATTTATATGCCCTCATGATTTCTGATTTATACCTGCAACCAAGACATCTTTTCTGAACTTGAGACCTCCACATCCACCTGCCTGCTTAGTTTTATCTGGATGTTGCGTGAGCATCTCAAAAGAAAAAAAAAGTTTTAAAAAGAACTCCCGCTTTCTACTAAGGAAACCTGCAAATAGTGGGAAGCATCTCTTAAAATGAATTCTCCCTCTCTTTCCAGTGGAGACACCTGCTCCTCCTGGTCTTACCCAGCTCAGTCAGTGACCCCTTGATTCTCTCAGCTGCGAAGCTGACACCCACTCTCCTTGAGTCTTTCCTCTTTGCACAGCTCCCATTTGGTCTGTCAGAATGTTATTTGGTGGCCCCCTGAATTACACAAAGAGCCCCATCACTTCTCAGGCTCCTCTATACCACTCCCTGGGGGCACACCACCCAGCTTTTCTTTCCGTTATTGAAATACCTGTTTACTGTCTCCTTGCTTTTATTGCCTCCTTTCAGACTATGTTCAATAAAGCAGCCAGAGAAGTTCTGGATAAATGCCAGTCATGTCACATCTTGTCAAGTCTTGGCTCAAACTCTTCATTTACTTCCCATTTTATTTAGAGTAAAAGCCAGTTTTTAATAAGGTCTAACAGAATCTTCCGACTGTTCCCATGATTTCCCCTCTTAGGTCTTGTCCTTGATAACTCTCTCTTGCTAATTCTGCTTCAAGCCTCTCCTTGCTCTTCTCCAAGCACAGGAGACACGCTCTTGTCATGGGGAATTTTGCAAATCGTATCATTCTTCTAGGGACACTCTTTCCCATGCTATCCACATTGCTACTCCCTTACCTCCACTAGGTCTTTATATAAATGTCACATTTTTACCGAAGTATTCAAATAGTTTACCTTACAGTTCAAAGAGTTCTCCTCTGCCTTTATTTATAAAAAGTCTTTGGCTATAATATTTCACCATACAATATTTTTATGTGTTTATTTTTATTATCTGTCTTTCTCAAATGAATGTAGGCTCTGTGAAAGCAGGAATATTTGCAAGTTTTGTTCGCTGCTCTGTGATTATACAAACCAAATATTTGTTAAGGGTTTGTTACATTTATGAATCCAAAAATAAATAGGAGCACTGCAATGAGTAAAAACAATTTAAATTGCTGTTCTTGTGGCATTCTAGTTGGAGAAGAAAAAGAAGAAACAAAACAAATCGTAAAATACAGAGACTATTTTGATATTAATAAATTGTGTAGTGGAGAAGCATTGTCAATGAGAGATTATGTAGGGACATTTAAAACATTTTTTATAAATAGGAAGATGGCAGCAAAGATGGAGGAAATTTGATTTGATGAAATTAAACATAATGAATTCAGTAAGCATTGAACATCCTCCAGGGTTGAAACAGAATAAATGTTGGGACGTAGGTGAAGAGGCTGATTTTGGGAAGGGACAGAGACATTAGGAAGCAAAGGGAAAAGCATAAATAAGTGAAATATAAAAGAAGAAAAACTTGGAAATCCTGTTTTCTGATGAAATAAATTTCTTCATATATTTTCATACCTAAGAGTTTCACGATGTTGGGGTTGTCGAATTCTGCCATGAGAGCGGCCTCCCTCTGAAAATCCGCCTGCATATCTGCTGAGGCTTCTTCTTTGAGCATCTTTACTGCCACCATAGTGAAAGGTTCGTAGGGAAGTAGGCCAGGAGCCCTGAGAGATAAATTTATTGATAAAGAAACCAAGGAACAGGAAGATTATGTGTACCCACCTTATGGCCCTAGATATCCCCACATTACCTAGTCTTTCCCAGAGCCACAGAATCAGCTGTACTTCAAACTCCTTGCCTCCAATTAATAAAACTCACTGGGGCTGTTTTCCGCATAGATTAAGGTTGAGAAATGCTTTATTTATCAATTATTGGAATTCTAAAGTGCAAAGACCTAATGAACTATCATTGTGCTCTAATGCCTTAATCTCTGGCCAGAATCTAAATTCCTTGAAGGTAAGGATTGTGACTTTTTTATCTTTCTATCCCTCATATAATGTGCAGCTTGCTTATTTTTGGTTCCCAACAAGTATTTGTGTGAGATGTTCACCATCATGTAATCTTGACACCTCGGCTGCTACGAATATAGGTCAAGATGTATCTTTATGTAAAAAAGTTTTGTTTTTTTTTGGCAGGGGTACCAGGATTAAACCCAGGAGTGCTTAACCATGAGCCACAGCCCCAGCCCTTTTTTAAAAAAAAATATTTTATTAGTTGTTGATGGACCTTTATTTATTTATATGTGGTGCTGAGAATCGAACCCAGTGCCTCACACATGCTAGGCAAGCGCTCTACCACTGAGCCACCACCCCAGCCCCACCCCAGCCCTTTTTACTTATATATTTTTTAAATTTTGAGACAGGATTTTGTTAAGTTGCCTCGGGCTTTGCTAAGTTGCTGAGGCTGGTCTTTCTGTGCAGAGAGGGTGTTTTATTCCATTTCACACAAAAGCAAAAAATGGGCTAATGCTGGCCCTAATAATACTCCTTTATAAGCTCATGGTTTTCTCCATTTTTGTGGGATTTTCCCCCCCTTTCTGTTTTGTTACTCCATTGACATGTATGTATGTTAAACTCTGAATTCTTAAATTGAAATGCTAATTCAAAATAAACATCAAATGGAGAAAATAACAATAGGAAATTAAAGAGAATTAAATTTGAGAATTCTTTCCTAAGAGCAATGGAAGAAATTTTGGTTCAAAATGTAAGACAATTTTTTTTTCTAGAAAGAAAATGAGATTGAACTATTAGTAATTTCTTGGGATTTGAACAAGAGACATTTATATTTCCTATAAGTTACTTCTTTGAAATGCAATAAAATATTTTCTTTTCACGTTCATGCCCATTTTCAAGACAAAAGGGGAAGCTATCAAGATTTAAAGTATAGCATGTAATATGAATAAAGTTAATGATGTAAAGAATTAACAACTATTTAAAAATATATGTACACACACACACACACACACCTCAGACTAATGGTCAGATAATTTTCAGACATGACATATTTCAATGGAGAATTTTTTTTTCCCATGGGTAACTTTACCTTGCTTGAAAGACCCTTCCAAATGCTCCCTCTCCAATATCTCTCACATATTCAATGTTATTCCTTGGATACTCCAGACTGAGCAATTTGGGATTCAGAAGGAGTGGCATCCTCTGGTACATGGGGTTAGGATGCAGCCTGTCTAGGAGGAGCTCAGAAGGCAGTGTGGTGAGGGTTACTGCTGCTGCTTCTCTGTAGGTAAGACAGGCAAGACAAATAATGAGTTCAAGGGCAGGTAAAACCTTTGCACTCAAACTTAGATCATCCTGAAAATTGTGGCATTTGGGAAAAAAATAAAACCAATTATACTTAGGCAGCCACAGGATCTTCAGTTTGAAAGCAATAAAATATTTTGTTTTGTCTAGAGTCAAAAGGCACATTTTTCTCAAGAATTTTGTCACTATCCAAATTGGCAGGGGCAATGGGATGAGGAGAGGATATGGGGAGCAGAAATATCCATTTTCTTCCAAAGTATTAAGTTCTATCTGTTGTGAAGTAACTTTAGGACATGTGATTGCAGGCAAAAAGAAAGTCATTGACTTTGTTTGTTTGTTTTGGTACCAGGGATTGAACCCAAGGATGCTTAACCACTGAGCCACATCCCTAGCCCTTTTTATTTATATATTTTAAAATTTTTGAGATGGGGTCTCGCTAAGTTGCTTAGGGCCTTGCTAATTGCTGAGGCTGACCTCAAACTTGCTATCCTCCTGCTTCAGCCTCCCAAGTTGTTAGGATTATAGGTGCACTGCACCTAGAAATTATCAACATTTTCAAAAATCATGATAAGGGCTGCTTAATTTCAAAGCAGGGCTATGGATTCTCTTAGAGGCTGGAGGTATTGTGTATATTCCTCTTTCTATCCCCAATTCCAATATTAAATATGTAGGTTTTAAAATATTATTCTGTGTGATTAGCTTCAACTAAGATCTCACCTTTTCTTATTTTTCCATTCTTTTCTTCTTCGGCAGCAATAAAGAGTAGTTATTGTAAGAAGCACAAATACTGCAAAACTGGACATGATGGAGATTATTACAGTCATGGAGTACGTAGGTGAGACAGAGAAGGAAGAAGATGAGGAAGAAGGCAAATTGGGAATGTCCACACTCGGCTTTGAGGACGTCATTGGTGGGAATGCTGAAAGTAAACGGTAATTCTTTTCATTCATTCTCAAACCTTTAAGAAGCAGTTTTTATATCAAATAAACCAGTAAATTAAATTTAATGTTCAGAATGTGCTCATGTATTGGATTCTCCCTGGTTACATATCTATAAAATCCAATTGTGCACATAGAATCATATGACTTTAAAGATGAAACTCAAAAGAGAATTTTTTTTTCTCCCAAGAGAAATGTGGATTCCGGGCTAGTGCTCTTTGTACTGTGTTGTATTGTCTATGATTGACAACAGTTGTGAAAATGGTTAAATACAATATTTCTTGTAATAATACTGTAGTCAATTGTCTAGAGTGAGCTTTTGTACACATGTACTATCAGTTTACAGACAATAAAAATAATGAAAGGAGACTAAAAAAATGAAAACATTAATATACAAATGAGCAGAAGTTAGTTCTTCTAAAACTTGAATTCTTGCCAAACTCCAATGTTAAAGGCCATTGCAATTTAACAACAATTAATATATGCATTACTGCTGAAGACCAAAAGATGCCATACTTGTGCCATTCTGTAGGGTGCAAAGGCTGTTGCATATGTACTAAAACAACTTGGTTAATTATATTCTGACTCCTCTTTATAGATTAAGACAAGAACACAGACATATAATAGTTTAACAACATAACTTAACAAGAATGTTTTAATAGCTAGGAATGAACTTTGTACCCTAAAAGAGAGAATAAACCTTTCAATGTTTATGGAATACTGAGACACATAATCTTAAGCAAGGCTATAAAGGCGTTTCAAATTTCAAAAGCTAAAATTATGCAGATATACTCCTGACCAAATGCAGTTAATATAGATTAAGTAAAATCTAATAGGATTTTTAGAATTCTATAACTTTTTAGATTAAAAAAGGTAAGAGTAGCCAGAGTTATAGGTTAGATTTTTTTTTTTTTTCTGTGCTGGAGATTCAGCTCAGGGCCTCACACAAGCTAGGCAAATGCTCTACCACTGAGTCACACCCCAACTTCAGAAAAAACTTTGTGGGTATGAGACTTGACCAAAGCTGTGCTTACTGATAAACTCATAGTGTTATCTCCTTACATTAGATATAAAGGAAGAAAGAGAATAAATGCTATATTTAGTTCAAGACTTTGGACAAGAAACAATAACTACAGAAAACAAAGAAAACAGGTGATAAAATAATAGCCATATGCAAGCAGAAATTAATAAGTTAGAAGGAAACAAAACTGATAGAGTTGAACAATAGAGTAAAAAACTAATCCGTGGAATTTTAAGAAAAGAATAAGGCACAAACAAAATTAGGAAAGATAAAGGAGTTATGACAATAGATTCAAAGATCAATAAAAATGCAATAATACATAATTGTGCAATCACTTTCTTTAAATCTTAAGGAAAATGTTAGGAATATGTTAGTTACCAAATTTGAAGAATAAGAAAAGGTGAATATAGCCACAGTCAAGAAATTAGTTTTAAAAGTCACTGTAGGATTATGATTATAATTTAGTCTTGAAACAGAGAAAACTTCCATATTTTATGATATGTTCCAGTAAGAGAAAAATCTTTTGAATTCTTCCAGGAAGTTGCAATACTAATATCACAACCTGCAATGTTATCACAAAGGAAAAGTGCGTATGTAGATTATATAACAGATTCAGAAGATCCTAAATGAAATATTAGCAATTGACTGCAATATAGTAAAAGAACAATGAAATGACATAAGGGAACGTAGTAACATGACATTACAAAGTCAAAAGAAAAATTTATCCCAGCAGAGGCCTAAAGCCATTTGATAAAGGACATTTGTAGAAGTGATGGTTACCAGAGGCGCCTGTATCTGACTTCTTAGTCTGGAATGGACACGATGGTTACGCCCTGGCCACTACCAGCTAAGCAAAGGAAAGCCTTCATGCCATTTGAAATAGGACACTTGTAACAGCAGAGGTTACAAGGGGTGCTTAGTTCAGGAGTGGACACAGGGATTGTGCCCTGATCACCAATAGCTAAGCAAGTGGCTTTGAAGCCCATGGAGATCCAACTTGGTCCCTGTTGTGACTCAAGCAGGCACCTGGGGCTAGAGAAATGTCAGCAGAGCACTAAAACATCTGTATGGGAGGGATGTCAGTGTTCCTCTTCAACACCACAGCAGGGGTGGACCCAGACGTCCTGGGTCCACTCGGACTGGCTTGAAAGCTGGGCCAGTGCTCTCCAGACTAAAGCCCCCCTAGGCTTCTTCATCCAAGTAGGGAAGTTCCTTAAGTGAGTGAGCTCTGCTTCTTGCTAACAGTAAAGTAGAAGCAGTTATTAAAAGACAGGGAGAAATGACTATTTTTGTACCTGGATTTTACAGTTTGTATCATATCAAACACGTGATGCAGCATAATGAAATCTGTAAAATCAGTAAAGTCACTAGTTAAGTATAAGGACATTTTTTTTCTAAAAATTATCAGAAAATAAAATTTAATGGCATGTTTAAAGAAAAATCCATGAAGACTCATTAAGATTTAATTTTAAATGCAAGAAGTTAAAGAGTTTGAACAATAATCTTGCTGTAAGGATTTAAATGTATCTTCTTTTCAGAATAGTTCTATTTGTTTATTCCTTGATTATTGCCTCTGATCTATTTGCTCTGATCTTCCCTACAGCTACATCAATTATCTCTTTGGATCTAAATTATTGATTTGTATTTCCATTCTGTCTCCATTTTACCTTTCTTTTTTTTCTGATCAATTTTATCTCTTTATCCTTTTCCTGTGAACATGAGGGGAGTTTATTTACTCATCTATCCATACATAAATACATTCACTGAATCAATATTGATTGTTAGGCATCAAGAATGCTGTGGTGATCATGACAAGCCTTGTCATGTGCACCATGGAAGAGAGTGTAATCTCAGCTTTTGAGCAGTCCAACCAAGAAAGGTAATTAATGTGGAAACCTTCTAGTTTCATTCTGAGGATTTCTGCTTTCCGGTAGGTCAAAGCATCATTCAATAGAAGTTAGTTTCAAGGGCACCCTTTCCCAGCAGCCTTCCTGGGTCCTTTCCAAGGGATTTTGTGACAACCCTTTTAAGACCATTCAGTTTACCTTCATAAACATTATATGGACAATTAGCTATCTTCAAAAGCACTTATCTTTATTCTGTTGCATAGGAGGGTAACAGATAATGATTGTATATATGTAGTATACTACTATATTTTTCATAAAAACTCAGAAAAAGGATTTTGAATTTTTTCACCACAAACAGATGAAAAATGTTTGAGACAGATATGCTTACTATGATTCAAACATCACATAATGGATCCACATATTGAAACATCACACAGTGCCTCATAAATACATATAATGTTATGTGTTAACTACAAAAAAACACTTAAAAATTCTACAAATTGTATCTCAGATCAACTTCATCAAAATAAGTATGAGACCCAGGCAATAGCACTTTTTAAACCTCTCTGGGTGCTCAGTGTGTACATGGGATGGAGGACCACACTGAGCATCCCTTACTAAGACCAGCAGAAACTCATCTGATTCTACAGGTAAAATGAGAAGAACATGAGATTCCAGTACATATTTAAGATAGTCTCCATCTGATTAGTATAACTAATTTTAGAATCAAGAAAAAAATTGGGGGAAAAGTGAATCCTAGATATTATTTTCTTTACAATTTTTTTCTTATGATTATACAGAAATTTTTCTACAATGAACATGGAATTCTCACACAAATAATAAACTTTTGGGAAAAAAATACAAAATGCTTATCTTCCAAAAGAAGGACTTGTCAGTTGCAAATCAGCTCAAAGAAATAGCTGTAGTCACACATGAATGATTAGATAAAAAATAATGAATGCAAAATCAGAAGATGACATTTTAAACTTGGCTTATCTTATAGATATATAAGGCATAAAACAAGCTAAAAACCTTGAAGGGGGAGATGTCTGTCATTTGTGTCCTTCACTAAATATGATGACTTCTATAGTCTAATTAGAAGCTATAAACTATGATCTTCTCATGTTGTATCCTGGGTTAATATGGTGCAAAGTCTTTGAGGGTGCTTTACATTCTGTCCTAAAAATCATGAAGAATGAGTGTAAATCCGCATGCATGAATCCAATTACATACAAATAAGGTTTCAAGGGCACAAATAAAATTACTTACTTGTTAGGTTTTCTTTTTTATAATCTGAAGGGAAAGGATAAAAATTTGTTTTAAGTGAGCATCCAGATATCTCATGTATTCTGTGAGAGAGTGCTAAGAAATGCAAGTTCACTTTCAGTTTTTTAATATATAACTGGAAAACATTATTTGCATTCAAATGTGAAAATTACGTCTTTGAAAATTAAACCAGCTGTTAGGGATAACAACATAGTTCCTTACAAACGAAGTTCATTAAAGCAACATGCAGCAATTCAGTTTTGTTTCGTGAGATCAGCGTTTTCAAACATGTGGCTTATTTTTGCATGCCTAAAAATCTGCTTCACTGGCTAAGAAAGAGGACTTTATTCCTTTATTCCACTCTTTTGACAAAATATGTTTCTTAGCCATTTTTTCTGCACATTCCAGAAAAACGTTACAAGTTCTCATAAGCTCCCTATAAAATAAAGATCTCAAGCAGCAGTGACCTTTAATTTGTTTTAGAACAAATGGAATGAAACTATGCTAACCTGTGCAATTAGGATAGCATTAGGATTCCACTTATTAGGTATGTAAGGAAGGCAAAACTCAAAAAAACAATTAGAAATGCCTAGAAAGCCTAGAAATATTAGGAGCTTTCAGTTCACACCTTAGTTTATTCAAAACAGTACATTTATTTTAACTTCCATAGTCTTGGGGTGGGGGAGACTCTGTTACCTAAATATGGCAGTCTGGTACAGGCCTTGGGATCCCAGTGCATGCTGGGAAGCTTGCTGCAGTCTGGCACAGAGAGCAGATGCATCCCGGATCTGTAGAGTCCTCTGTGGGTCTTTTCTTCCATCATCAGCCATTCTTTTGCACAGAAGAGCTCCTTTACTGCCAAGCAGTACTCTCTAAAATATTGTATGGAGAACAAAACTTGATGAATTATGGCATGTTAAAGCCAAATCTGTGGTGGAGCTTATTCTGTATTTTCAAAACATCATCATAATTCATTGCCTGTGCTTGCAAAAGCATTTTTGAAAGGACTCCTTTACCTTAAATAATGTGAGGCCTTATGAGATATGGTATATTATGCTGTGAGATTAAATACTATCTTGTTTTGTTTTCTCAGGGTAATTAATGCTACTGGGGAAAGGAGCTGTTCAATTTAACAGGCATTATGAGATTAGGAATCCCCAATATGTCTTCTCTCAACTTCATATTAAAATAACCATAAAGGTACAAAAACAAGCTACATAGAGTTTAAAACATCATGCATACTAAAAGCCATGAATCATTTTCAATCAGTTTCTAGCCTGGGAAATTTTTCTATATTCTCAGCGTCACTGGGCAGGGTTTAAGGCACACATTATGCACATCTGCATGTTTTGTTCTCTAAAACAGAACCGCACCATCTCCACGGAGTTTATAGGAGGGAATTAGGTTCCTGACCCAGCCCTCTTCCCCAGAAGCATTGTCCTGTCCCCTGGCTGCGTGTGCGTCCATCTGAGAAAGCCAGAGTAGTGTCTATTTGAATATAAAGCTGTTATGTTCATCTATAATCCAGGAAATGAGTGAAAAAACTGAAGAGAGATTAGTTGGAATATTTGGATTTGGGGGATTAATATTAGCTTAAGGGTAATATGACAAAGCTATGTCAGAGAAATTTGGTTAATGCCAAATTAAGATATTTAGGATTAATAAGAGGAAATGAAAGATAATTAAGGAACATAGCAGGCTCCCTTCTTTCAATACCTGAGGGATTCAGAGAGGACGGAGTTGTGTGTGTGTGTGTGTGTGTGTGTGTGTGTGTGTGTGTATACACATTTATTCAGATGCCCAATAATGTCTTTTTAACACTCATGCCTATTCTCCTGCTTGCCCAACTTGCCAATATTGATGGATGAATTGTCTGTAGGATGAACAAGGGAGATCATGAGCATAAAAATGAGATTTAGAATTTGGGGTATGTTTGCAAGAGAAGGGAGAATGAAGCAAAAAAAAAACAAACAAACAAACAAAAAAAAAAAAACCCTGGAGAGTGCTGCTTAACTTGCTACCTTTTATGTCTGAATCTTGCTCCTGGCTTGCACAAGCACATCTTCTTGTATTTAGACAGATAGAGATCTTCCCCAAGGGTATTCTTATATATGATCATTAAATCAAATGTAAAAGCTAAAAATAATGTTCCCCAAATTGAGCATATGCCAATAAAATATAAGTAAACAGCATTAATTTGGCTTACAATTCCAAAGTTGCAAACAACAAGCATGGAGGATTCAGTACAATTATTCTAGCTTAATTAGATGTACCCTGAATATCCTGTTTTTAAAATGGCAAGTTTTCTGCATTATTTTCTGCACTCAGGATCTCCATCACACTAGTCCTCATTATTTTTTCTAAGTTTGTGTATAAATTATTTATTATGTTTGTTAATATATCCCAAATGCCTAGACCAGCTTTTGGAGCCTAATAGGAGATCAAGAAATGTTTGTGAGTAGATGGAATTCCCTGTCATTCACGAGAAAAAGGACACATTATGAAATGACTGTTTTAAATTAGAAAATCATGAGCAACGGTAGGCTCCTAAAAATCTCACAAGAAATTAGAAGTACAATGCAAAAGGGCTGAAGACCTTTGAACCACTAAAGAATAAAAACAAATGGAACTTTTACAAAAGATCTAACAAGCAAGCAAGAAAGCATAAAATGAGAATATCTGAAAATCAGAATCTCAAGAAAACATCCTTAGGAAAATTATTAGTGTGTAAAATTTTTATGTATCATTAATGAACTCTTGGATCAAACTGATAAAAATCAGAGTAGAAAGGACTGAATATTTTAATTAAAGGTGATACTAATATTTTCATAATACATTTTAATTTTATCCTTAAAAATATAGTCTTTTTAAAATGTAAAATTTTTATAACTATTGATTATACATTAGAGGAAAAAAATTCCATAAAGTAAAAAATGAGCCAGGTCTGGAGGCACACATGTGAAATCCCAGTGACTTACTTAGGAGGCTGATGCAGGAGGATTACAAGTTTGAGGTAAGCCTCAACAACTTAGCAAAACCCTATCTCAAAACAAAAAAATAAAATGGGCTGGGGATATAGCTCAGTGGTAAAGCACCCCTGGGTTCAATCCCCAGTATCAATCAATCCAAAAATGTGAAACATTTTAGTTTGTATTTTCTCACTCTGACGTGAATAAATGTTTTCACATGAGAATTTGAAAAAATAATTTTCCAATAAAAATACTTATCTAATAACAATTAGAATTAGGGGGACAATAGCACACTCAATTGACTTACAGATTTAGGAGATATTTAACTCTGCTATGCTAGTAAAATTCAGATCCCAATGAAAGGAATTTTTTCCTTAAAAAAATCAATTACTTTAAATCTTAAAAAAAACATCTGTGGCCTCATGCATATAAACCAACATAGGATATAAATGTTAGATGTTTTCTCAATAAATATCTTTTTGTGCTAACATATAAAGAGATAAAATTCAATATTTTTTAAAGAGAGAGAATTTTTTAATATTTATTTTTCAGTTTTCGGTGGACACAACATCTTTATTTTATTTTATGTGGTGCTGAGGATCGAACCCAGCACCCCGCGCATGCCAAGTGAGCGCACTACCGCTTGAGCCACATCCCCAGCCCTCAATTTTAATTCTGGTAAAATTTCCTAAATTTTAGTTAAGAAAGGAGATTCTAATTAAGAAAGAGGTCTATCATTATCTATAGATCATATTATTTCTGGCAGAGAAACCACAAGACTATCAACCAAAAAATCTAATAGAATTCTGTAAAATGGTTGATACCATAAAATAAAAATAGTAGCTTTATTATACACTAACAAGAACGTCTTAAATAAAGAGGAAAAAATACCCAGTGTGTGGATAAGGATTCATGATTTATAATTGACAAGACTTGATCCCTCTCAATCATTAGAAGATATAATGCCAAAAAATTGCATGAATTTAAGAACTGCATGAATATACTCTAAATATTTCCTTGTCCAAAAGCTGGTGTCTGGCTCGTATTAATGAGTGGGTAATCTTGAGTGGCCTGACATGTCTATCATAACTTTCCTTTTGATGCTGCAGTTGTTCACATTAATTGCTTTAAAGTTCTTAGGCAGTGACAGGAAGAGCTTGTCCCTAATTATTTGCTCACCTCCACCACCCCAATAAGTAAAATCAGCAATAAAAACAAACAAACAACTGCCACATGCAGCAACATGGATGAATGTCAAAAACGTGACACTTTGCTGAGCAGAAGAAGCTAGATAAGAAATGGTACATGAGCGTAAAATTCAGGAACAAGCAAAACTAATCCATAGTCAGAAAAATCAGAACAGCAGATGCCTTTGGGGATCATTGATTAGAATGAGCGTGTGTGCATTTTATGGGGGTAAAAACATTCTGTCTTTCCTGGACCAGTGGCTACAGACTTGTGTACCTGTGTCAAGACTCAACTTGATGTTTAAATGAGGTTCAGTTTGCTGTATGTAAACTATACTTCTACCAGCTAAATATCTCAATAAAAGAATATGGCATTCAAAACATTTCATTGAAATCTTCCAGAAAATGACATAGCTCAACTCTAAAATTTCAAAATTCTAAGGAAATTAATAACAATTTATCACAATAAGGAATGAGGGAGGTAACTGTATCACTGTTCTGTTGACATTCTAGTCCAGGGGCACAATTATATTGTAATTAGTACTCATGTTACAGTAACTGAAACCATAAACCACACCTAACCATAAACTTAATAAGAAAAAGCAATGTGAAGGAAATCACCAAACTTTACTAACAGGCTAAGCACGATCTTATTAAAAGGAATGATGTAGCATGCTTCTGGGTGGGAATACTCAGTAAACACAGCACTTCTCTCAAATTGAATTTTATAAACTTTTTGTTATTCTAATCGAATTTTAAATGAAATTTACCTGTTGACTTTGTCAACACCTTTCAAAATTCCCTACATAAAAATAATTGCATTACAAGTAAACATTTTTTAAAAGATAAAACCATTCATTGCTAATGATATCATACGAATAAAATATTATACTTTCTGATGTTTGTCTGAATCTGTGTAATGAAAGCCAAACTGGAATTTTCATAAAATAAGGTTCATTTTTAGATGAGATTTTTATCCGATGCAATGGCAAAGCTTGGGATAGCATGACTGTGTCAAATGCATGCAAAGCACGAAACTCATTATGAAAGAAGTGCTTGAAAGCTTCAACCTAGAACAGTCCAGCATGCATGATATCATAAAGAGGGCACCGAGGCATGGCTTATTGGTGTTATGATAAATGCATTATTTTACAATGAAAGAGAAAGGATAGAAAAACTGATAATGTGGCAGTGGACAACTGACTCACTCCATGGAGTAAGTTTAAGAGTCTACTTTTCCTAAACTAAAATCATAAGAAAAACTTATAAAACAGGTATCTAATAAATTAGGGCACGTGAAAGGTTAACTGATTTCACTACCAAAAAAATGAATTAACATATTTTGCCTCAAGAAATGACCTACATAAAATAGTTGTTCCTCTTTCTGAGACACACAGCAAAATGTTTATAGATGGAATAATAAAATATCTATGATATACTTCAAAATAAGTAATCTGGGATGGTGCTGCAGTGGGCTGGGTGAGTGGGAATGAACTGAGATTGAGTATGAGTTGATTTAAACTGAGTGACAGGTGCATGGGCAATCTTTGAACAATGATCTCTACTTGTATACATATAAAAGTACCCATAATTTAAAAATTAAAAGAAAAAAAAAGAACTGAATCAAAAGCAGAGGCTCATTTTGCAATGAGAAAAATAATTTGCAAACATAAATAAATAGTTAAATTATAATCTTAGAATTTTATTAGATATGAGAGAGCAAACTAGTAGAAAAATGGGTACAGACTATAAACTGAAAACTTTTTTAAAAAGACCTAAAAGTATCAAGCACACAGAAGATTTTAATTTTCTTCTTTGTGACTTTATAAATATTCTGATCTTTATGCAATAGAATGATATGTTTTATAATCAGAAAACCACAATGACTATCACAAAAAAAGGAAACACATTTCTAATCAAATTATTATTTCTCTTCAGCAACTGTCCATAGCGTTGAGCTGATTCATCTGTGTCACTGCGTTAGTATGGTAACTATCCCCGTGACAGTGACAACCACAGATTACATAAGCAGTGCTACGGAAAAGGCTGATAGAATCTACTGTCGCATACTGTTGTTAGTTACACTTCTTATGTATTATATGTGTGCTACTTTCTAGTTAAAGGGCTTCATTATTGAGCAGAACTCCAACCATACAATTTTGAGAACTCTCTAAAGAAGCTTAAGAAACAGAAATGTAAATTTTAAAAGAGGCATTCAACAGACTCATTTGTTTTTGTTTTTTCTTTTTTCAAATAACTACAAGGGCATTTGAAAAATATTTCTTAATTTCCTGTAAGAACAATTTTTTGCTTCTTCTCACCACTCTTTCCCCCATTCTCTTTAGTTTTTTCTTTCCTTCTCTTTCCCTTTTTTATTCCCAGAAATTTTTCATGTCATGCCTGATCACAATACAATCTTCTTAGGTGAAGAAACAAATTATATTACTCTGACAGTGTCAACAAACACTGACTTTGCATTGTCAAGAACGACCGAGCCCTAAAATTATGTTAATTTAAATAGTTAAGTTTCCACCCCAAAATAGAAGCAGAAATGTATTCAATGTTGGTAGTTTTCATGCTTTTTTTTTTTTAAAGAAAGTCCAGGAAGAATAACACTCTATCTGGTTTCTAATACATATTATGGGTGCAATTCATCCTTTACTCCCCTCGACTCTATGGTACAGATGAGGAAAACTGAAGTTTAGCCTAAGATCATATACATCTAAAAATGAGAACTAACCATATTTGAAATTTGTTCTATTTGATTCAAAAGCCAGCATTTTTTGATAAGTCTTACTATTGGAGCCCATGTGAGTTTAGGATTTCTCTTTTTATTTTGCAGGAAGCAGGACTATTTATAAATAGGACAATAATGTGAACACTGCAAGAGTAATAGAATATTATATCTTTTATGACATTTTTCTAGAAGTTCAGTGTCTTTGTATTATAGATCATCATCAGTGATTCACTTGGTAGGAATTTTATCCTGGGAATCACCTCCTCTTTTGGTTGAAAGCCAGCTTTTGTCTTTTCTATGGCAAATGACAACTTCTTTTGAAAACTTCCTGTTTGAAGACACAACCATGGAAGTTTCTCATTTACATGTTTGTGAAGTTTTACCTGCAAATGGGGGTGGGAGTAGGCACTCCCCCAGGACTGCACTCTGGGAAAACGTGGCTGCACAGCAGAGCCTCTGCAGCCTGCCGGCAGAGTGGGCTCATGGCTTTCAGTTCATTCCATGCTGTGTGAACCAGTAGCTCCTGGGCCTCCTCGGGGTCCGCGTAGGAGGTGTTGAAAAACACAAGAGCATCTTTTGCCAGGACTGCATCGCACACCTCCCCTCTGTACTGGGCGCAGTAGCCTTTGTAATCTTTCTGTGGTTTACTAAAGGAAGAAATGAACAACATTCCCATCACATGCTATTTCTTGGCATTCATTCTATGTTGTTGTTGTTGTTGTTTTCAATTTCACATCTGCATCACAGAAATAGGAGAGCAGTGCACTTGCAAACTGTTTGAAATGTTCCATGTGAATATTGTCTTCATTTCCAGCTGCAATTATATCATCTCTAGCCATTCTAGAGGGCTATTATGAAGGCCAAATGTGATCATGGGCATGGAAAGCTTTGGGAACGGTCAAGGACTGAATAGATTTGGGTATTTTTGTTACTTACTTTATAAATAGAATTCTACTGGTTTGGGTGAGGTCAGCTCACCCACTTCTTACAAAACAGCTAAATTAAAAAAAAAAAGAAATGCATTGGAAAAAACATTCATCGTGATGGTTAACAAAAGATAGCATTCGATAACATAATAATTGCTCTGATCCAAAAAGCTTGCAGCTTTAAGAACATTGTTTATTTACGTGTTAGGAGAGTTAAGTAGCCAATCTTTGCAGAACACTTGCATCTCTGACACACCTTGCATATTTAAATTCTCTCACCCACACATCTCCCCAGAATTCCACTAAAGAAAAAGCCATGCATGGAGAAGAAAGCATGGCATATGACTTTCGGAGGAGCTAAGTAGCATCTTTAGCTTTGATAGTTTCTCATCCCATGTCTTGGGGGAAATTGCAGGGTCACTCAGTGCCCCAAATGCTCTGCTTGGTAAAATGAGACAAGTAATTATTCTGAGGTCAGATCATTATGTGTTAATTGGTAATATATGGAAAAAAACATAATCCTATAGAGGCAGCACAAGAATAACATTAAAGACTTATTTTCTATAACAGCTGAAAAGGATAGTTGGGAAAATGGAAATTACTGCTGGTGCTATTACATATCCACCTGTCTACTTCATGCAATATGATAGTATCTGTAATAATTATAACAACTCACATTCAATTGACAGATATGTATTGAACTCTTGTAAAGTGTAAGCACTGTGATGGTCTCAGTATATTCTTATGCTTTCCATTAGATCTCTATTACTAACAATGACAGAAAACTCTTACATTGTATTGTCATCAGATTTGTACAACAGTTAGAAATTAGCATTTCATTACCTTTATATAAAAGATTTAAAGTGAGACAATTAAACGCATTGAAATTTGTGAGAAACTTCAAAATTGTTAAGCTACCCTATTTGAATTTGAAAAATCGGTGCTTTACAAATCAGCTTTGGCTAGTCTTTAAAAAAAATCATTAGAATGAGACAGCACATTCAGATAAAACAACAAATGTCTAAGAAACACAGCTATCTATATACTTTAAAATGATATTTTGTAGCATAGCATCTTCCTTTAATTTGGACCAACCTTTCACTAATTAGTCAGGATTATTTTTTCCTTATCATTTCATTTGCTGGGTATTTTTAAAATAGAGGCTTTGAATAAAATAAATAAATAAAACTCCCATTCAAACCTGTGTGAATTTCTCTGGTCAGAAACAACCAGAGAAATAATTTATGCCTTACCTGTGTAGGGCCCCCAATCCATAGTGACGCTAAGAAAGTTTCAGAGAAGCAAGCATGCTGTGCTTTAATAAACTTAATAATAGATAATAACGAGAAATAGCTAAAACTGGTTTATAAAATCATCTCACATATTCATATATCCTGGTATAAAGGGAGGATGAATAAACATTGGTGTAACCCTACTCATTAATGGAAACGACCTCATCATATAAAAGTTGAATATTTCCCAAAGGGTCTGGAAACTCCTAATTAGCCATCCAGGTTCTGATGGTGTCATGTGTTAACTACTGAGTGCTGTTACTTTTTATATCTCCATGAATATTTTTAGAAATAAAAGACAGTCTTGATTTTTCCCTCTAAGTACACAATAAAACATGTCTTTTGGGGAAAAAAAATTGGAACAAAGAAAAAGTAAACTAAAGGAAAATAGCCTCAGAGGTAAGGAGTATTAATAATCATCTTATAATCAATCCATCTCTCTGGATTTCTGATGCTGGAAAACGACTTCAGTGTGTCTTAATAGAATTGAATGATCACTTTTGGGGGGGCATTGGCTACGTAGTGCAAAAGAAAGAACCAAAATAGGAAAAGCCGAGTATGGTGGCACATGCCTGAAGTCCCAGTGACTGAGGAGGCTGAGATAGGAGAATTGACAGCTCCAGGCCAGCCTGAGCAACATAGTAAGACCCTGTCTCAAAATAAAAAATAAAAAGTGCTGGGGCTGTAGCCCAGTGGTAGAATACCTCTGGGTTCCATCGCAAGTACTACAAAAACAAACAAGAAGGGGAAAAGAAATGGATTTTAAATAAAAACTAGATCTTGGTTTATATTTTGTTTTTTCTTCCTAATAGCCTGAAGACCATTAGCTTGTGAAAACCTTTGTACATTGGGAAAACCTATACATATACAAAGTGTATAATTATTATAAGTTTTCCACATGATGTATGATGTTCCTGTGATTATTCAGGACTTGGCTTTGGGTTGCATTGCTATGCTTGGATGAGCTCCATAATTTAAGCATATGGATATATAGGACTCCCCCACCCCAAGTATATATTATATATCTAAAAATATTTATCTATCTACATAGCTATGTAGTATTTATCTATTGACTGCTAATCACACTTTCAGTGTTCTAGCTATTTCCCCTTTCTTTCTTTTCCCCCCCAATACTGCACACTGAACCTAGGGTGCACACTGAACCTAGGGTGCGCTACCACTGAGCTATGTCCCAGTCTATATATCTATATCTATATCTATATCTATATAGAGATATATAGTTAGATAGATAGATAGATAGATAGATAGATAGATAGATAGATAGATAGATAGATAGAATTTTGAGGCAGGGTCTCACTACGTTGCTGAGGCTGGCTTTGAATTTGTGATTCTTCTGCCTCAGTCTCTTGAGTCACTGGAATTACAGGTGTGTACCATCCCACCCAGCCATCTACTTTTTTGAAGAAACTTGTATACCTCAAATGTCACACTATGATCAAATCTTAGACCCAAGACATGGAGGTAAATTAGGCCATTTTGTCCCTCAATCTCCTAAACCTATTGTTTAGAAAAAAATTTAGAAAGGAGCTCACAGCAACTGTTCCACTGTTCAAATGAGCAAGAGGACCAGTTGTTTCTAGGATTGGCTCATCAGCAGTCCCAAGAACCACAGGCAGAGAAACACAACTTTAGCTGGGTGTGAAGGAATAACATCACATGCAAAAGATCACCAGTCAAAAATCTCTGTGGTCACGCTTACATTATATATCCCTTCAGCAGATACTTGTCTTCACTGTGAAGTTCGTAAGAGTCAGTGCTGTCTCTTAGAACCCACATAGTAATTCAGCATCTATTTATTCCTTGGGCAAACAAATACATCAAAGCTATATGACTTTGGACAAGATTTAGAACAAATTTTGTTAGGCAATGACTGGAGTTCTTGATTCTGCTCTCCTTATCTTCATCATTGCCATCATCTAGTCAGAGCATTAAAAGCCTTAGAAATTAGAAACTTTTTTTTATTTTTATTTTTTTAAATTTTTTATTGTTGGTTGTTCAAAACATTACATAGTTCTTGATATATCATATTTCACACTTTGATTCAAGTGGGTTATGAACTCCCATTTTTACCCCGTATACAGATTGCAGAATCACATCAGTTACACATCCATTGATTTACATGTTGCCATACTAGTGTCTGTTGTATTCTGCTGCCTTTCCTATCCTCTACTTTCAAAAAATTTCTAACACTCAACACATAGCAGACAATTAATGGTGTATCAAGTAATAAACAACAACAAAAAAAAAAAAACACAAGCAAGCAAAACATGAGTATAAAAATCGTTTCTTACCTCCATTCTATTAACAGGAAAGGAAGTTCCCATAAGAAATCACATTTAAAAAGAGGGGAAAAAGAAAGTTAGTACATTTTCATCTTATGGTTTGAAAGAGTTTCAATCTCTAAGGCTCTGTTAAGTTTTCTGCTTCTATTGGAGGCTAGATCCTGCATTAACAGGCAGATCTGAAGAAAGGAGATTAAGAAAATACTGTCCTGGGAATTGTATTCTTTTCAAATGGAGGTGCCCATGCTGGCCTTCTGGGTATGTGGCCTGGGTGGTCGGTTACACAGGGTTCCATACTCTCCTATGACTACTTTAATGCTCTTCTTGAAATACTATTTTTTAACATTTTCATTTTGCAGTTAACTCCATAAATTATGTAGCCAGTTATGCCCGTGGGAGTACAGTTCAGGGCGCTGTGAGGTGGTCCTGCCTCTCCTGGGGTGAGCTACATGATCCTACTCAGACCCTCTTCCAGTATGAGGGCCCTGGGAGGCTATGAAGTGGCCTTCCTTTCTGAATTATTCCAACTTCTTTTGGAGAAATTAAAGATTCATATGCTTTACCAAGTGTTTTGTGGCCAATTTTCTCCTTGTTCCCTATTCCCATTATTAAAGCAAAATGTGAAACGTACTTTGTCTAAAACCAATTTGCTGCATTAGAATTTCTCTGAATGTCAAGGTCTAGCTTTCTTGGAAGATGTTAGATCCATTTGGGTTGGGTGCAATTCTTTTGGCATTTTTAAGAATTCTAAAAAGTTAGTTTCCTTGAAATACAACAAGTTTGTATTTCTGATTACTTTTTTTACATCACAGGGATTGGTGACAACACAATTTTTGCAACCTTGAATGTATGGTTCAAGGTTGTTTTCTTACAAAAATGTTTTAAAAGTAGTCATTTTTGTCAAATTGAATAAACCATCCTGCAAGTGTTCTAAATTGGATAAAAGAGAAAAAAACACAATGACCAACCACAATGACCTACATAATATGTGTTATAGTATTAAAAATACAAAACAAGTCAAGACTGTTTGGCTATATTATCTGGAAAAATTTTAAATTTTTAATTCTTATAAGGGTAACAAATTAGGTAAAGTGGGTTTAGGTAAACTGGTATTAGGTGAACTGATTTGGGGTGAATTAGTCTATTCTGAATGTATGGCACTCATTCCATGAAAATACTGGTATTTTCCATTCATAGCATGGATCCCCTTATATTTGAAATTTTTAAGCCAGTTGTTTTCATGCTCTCAATTTCTAAAGTAAATGATTATAGAAAATATGTAATCACAGACATAAACACACACACACACACACACACACACACACACACACGACACTTTTTTCCTTGCAATGTCCAGAGGAACATTACTAGCTTCCTCTTTGTTCCATTAAGCAGGCTCTGTACACAGGCACACAGTTTTGGTTCTTGGCCTTCAAATGAAGGTGGAAAGCATCCCAGTAAAAATCAGAGGCCAGGAGATGAGCTATTTCTCTAGATTTTCCTCATGCTTGAATGATTTTTGTGTAGGGGATTATAAAATGTCTAATGCAGCTCTTTTCGACTAAGAATTGAGAGACTAGTACACAAAGCCAAGAAAAGTGTCTTTATTTTTATTTTTTTAAAAAATAACATTACTTTCTGAAAAGAACCACAAGCATTAGGACCTAAAGGCAGAGGGAGGGTCCAGAGGTGGCACTGGCCATCACTTAGACAGCAGGGACCTCACCTCAGATGTGAATCCATGGGATGCTATGGAAGGTTGCTAGGTTACCAAGAGAACGGCCATCAGACAAAAGAACCCCAACAGTAAGACACCACAGGCTGCCCAGCAGGGATTCAGATCAAGGGCTGGGGACTGTGAATTCTCCCACATAAGGTACTGTGTGGCATGGAGGCCTCTGCAGGACTCTCCGAAGAACTCATGTGTCCCATGAGAGAGTCAGTAGTCAGATGCTTGCAACAAGAGGATTTAATAATCCATTAAGGCATTAAAGGCCTGGATCCGGCATGTGCTGGGTTTTAATACTGGCCCTAACATTTATTAGCTATGTGAATTTGGAACCTATATGAGCTTCAATGTCAATGCAGAATTCTGGGAAAAGTGGCATCTATAAGCCCCAAACCTCATGATAAGTCTCCCACTGTGACAGACTAGGTGGAAGAGGACATTAAGAAATTCTGGAGAAAATGGCATATAGTTTGGAGGAGTCAAAACAGATTCTCATAGCAGATGAGCAGAGAGACCCATTGAAACTCAGTGAGCAAAAATGACAGGTATGGAGAGAGACCTCACTTCATAACACAAAAAGAAGATTCAACAGCTTAGAGATGAACCAGTGCCAAAGAGAATCCAGCCATAGTACTAGGGAGGAAATAAGATGCTTTAATAGGCTTCTATAACAAGGGCAAGTAAGCAACAAGAGATGAAGCTAATTTAAGGTGACCGGCAGTTTCTAGACTAGTAAGACAATCAGGAGGTACTCTCATTCATTGGACTTCCATGTGTTTCTTAAAGACTCTTTCTTTCTGGGTGGTAGGTAGCTGGGGGACAGGGAAGGGGTCTAAGAAAATAGTGATTTATAAACCAATGATTTTATTTCAAGGCTAGTTTTTGTTTTTAAACTTCAGAAATTTCCAATAGCCACTGTTATGGTTTGGATATAAGGTGTCCCCACCCCCACCAAAGCTCCTGTGTTAATGCAGGAATATTTAGAGGTAAAATAATTAGATTTTGATAGTTATAATCTTATTAGTCCATCCTAGTTTGAATGGACTGACCGGGTGGTAACTATAAGCAGGTGGGGCGTGGCTGGAGAAGGTGGGTCACTGGGGGCATCTTTTTCTCTGAGGCCCCTTCCTCCTCCCTCTCTCTGCTGCCTGGCCACCATAAATGGAGCAGTGGCCCTCCATGAGGCCCTTCTGCCTTGACGTTCTGTCAAGTTGGCCAACCATGGACTAAATCTCTGGAATCATGAGTCAAAATAAATTTTCTCTCCTTAAAATTGTTCTTGTCAGGTATTTTGGTCACAGCAATGTACAGCTGACTGACATTGTTACCCAATGTCTGTAGAATCTTGAAAATGATCTGGAAAAGTCTGTAAAACGTTGGCCTTCTTTTGAAACTTGCCTGGGTTCTAAAACAAGAAGCTGCCTGATTGGAAAAGCATGCTTACCTTTTATGCCTAACTGCAGAACATCTGGGAGCAATTTAGTGTGGCTACTGTCTGTTACTCATTTATTCTTTCCCCTTTATTAAAAACAAAAACAAAACACTTTTAATCAGTTTAAAACCAGATGAAGTCAGCATGAAATTCCAGGGCATGGTGTCTGCTCTGTTGATAAGAAAACTCTTCGCCTTTAGTGGGAGAAAGTTCATTACAGGGATCATGGGCCCTTTGGCTGAGTGGTAAAGGGGATCATGTGCTCCCTTCTGTGCCACCACCTGCCTAAAAATTATGTCCAGCACTGGAGGGAAATAGGAGAGTGGCTATCAGACATAAGGAAGAGTATGTAACATGGCAGTACATTCAATCACCTCTATCAATTTTGTTGTAGAATTCAAAGTTCTATTTTTTTTTATAATAGTATCGAACATCAACTCTTGAAATATGGAAAATAAAACTAAGTGGCCCATTTTACAGTGAGGGAATCCCAAACTATCACATCAGATTTCTGATAATGCCATATAAAATTCAAATGTAGGGTCCAGAACTTCTGGTCCTGGGGTCAACCTAAAGAAGGGGCATTACAGACAGTGGAGAGATTGGTAGAATTAGTAACAGTGGAGGAAGAATGTGACCAGAGACTCCTCACTATTCCTTAAGACTGGAAAAGCACATACAAAACTTTGGACCTCACAGTCTGATAAAGAAAATATTCGTGCTGTTAAAAATGGGAAATACAAACACGTATGTTCTTCTGAATCCCTCCCTGTGCCTATTTTTATGGCCTCTGGCTGTTCCAGGACCATGCTCATTACAGGGATCATGGGCCCTTTGGCTGGTCTCCACCACAGGGCCTAGAGTTCTGATGACAAAGACAAGGCATCTTGCCCAATACCAGCATCCTGGTGAGTTTAAATCGTAACTTGAGTCTTTTGGGTTGTGACTGGAGGGGAAATGCAACTTCTTGGTTGACAGGCAAAAGATGCAAAAACTTTTGTGATGCCTTTTGATGACTAACAGCGAATAAATGATGAAGAAGGAAATGTATCACATTTCTGCAGGCACAGAGGCTTGAGCAGACTCATGGAAGGCTTTGGGGAAATGAAGACCAATCTCTGTTTTGAGTTGTCCTTCAAACCCTAGAAATATCTCTGGACATAATTCTAAGCACTAGACTATTTGCTCTTTCCATTTCCAGTTGTCCTGCTGAGATGAGTAAATAAACAGATGGAGTAAAAGCTTCCAAGTGAAACACAGGTCTGTGACAGAGGGGGCTGTTGACTACATCACACAAGGGGAACATGGGGACAGCTGAAATGAGAGACAGCGGCAGATTCTGGGGTAGGAAGCATTGTTAGAATAGCAAGAGGAGGCACCATGTCTGACTGGACCTCTGGCCAGCCCCACTGGAGGCCACAGGAAAGAGGGATTTAGCAGATAGGGAGAAAGCAGATGCTATATCAAGAACAGGGAGCTCTGGGGAGCCTAAGACCATGCTTATGTGAGATGCTCCTGAAGAAAGTGGCTCCAAATGATCCTTTTTTTTTTTTTCAATCTGATTGGTCTTACTTCCCTACATACTGATCTCAGGAGCGCTTCAGTGTTGGGAGGTCATTTCCTCAGTGATTCCAGAGGGAACTCATGAGACATCTGGCAGGTCTAACTGACAAGAACAGGTCAAAGACTGGAAGAGAAAATGGCAGAAGTCTCAGAGCTCTTACTCAGTGCGCTCAAGATCCACTCTTTAGACCTGCCTGGAAGCTTTGGGGAAAAGTAGAAGAGAGTCAAAACCTCCAATAGTCAGTGACCCTCACCTGAAAAACAGATGAGGAGATGAAGAGAAAAATCTTGGAGCTTTTATGAGCAGGGCAGGTAATAACACTAGATATGTAGCTGATTTCCAACCCATGGACCTATTTTTGATCTACCATACTCTCTCTAACACGTCTAAGTCTTTTTTCTTTTCCAGTTTTTGACTAAATTCTCATTTCTTTATTTGATCCCTAATATTGGACCTTACTGTGATTCTGTATATGGACTGATTTAAGTGTGGCTCATGCAGTTCAGAGAAGGGCAAGATCACAGGTCCCAGTTATAGGTTAACACTTTCTTTATGCTGTATGCTCTACTCAGGTTCTCTGATGACCCTTTAGCCACTACTGTAAATATACCCCTGTCCAGGGTGTTCTCAAGTTTCACTTCCAGGTCCCAATTTTACCTACCCTCTGAAATTGACCTCCATATCACACTGGTGTCCACTGACTGGCCAAGTCATTGCTGGTCCCAGGCTACATGACCATTCGCCCTACTGAGATGACTGCTCTTCATCTGCATCCAGGCATTGCAGTTTGCAAGCCTTCCACTGCTACACGCTAATCCATACACTGCTCCCACTCTCCCTTCCCTCCATGCACATTCCACTGTTATTTTCCATGAGCTGCTATTTCTGATTGGCGCTACCCCTCCCCCCCTCACCTCTCACCCCAGAATATTGCCTTCCTATGCTACCTGTGTCATACCTAAAGGTTCTTTCTACCATCAGAAGATACCCCTCTGTTTTTAGGATTACAGATTTCTCTTTGGTATATTCCATTTACTAACGGAGTTGGAATAGGTTCTCAAGATCCACTCTTTAGACCTGCCTGGGAAGCTGGGACAGGGGTGGCGAGATGATGTGGCTATGTATAGTATGGTAAAGATCATGCTGTATAGTCTTTTCAGTGTCTTAAAGATCATGCCCATGGGATGAATATACCCTTGTGTGGAGCAGATAAAACCATTTTTATTAGGTTCCCCTCCTTACTGGTCAAAGCACTATTTCCACAATTATTTTTGCATTTGTCATGAGTAGGCTATAAAGGTTTCCACATTAAATAAAGAATCCCTGTCTGGCCCTTCAGGCTTGGTATGTATGGGAATGAGGAAAGAAGGGAGATAAAGAATTTGGATACACATTTTGTAGATTCCTTTTCTGGGCCCAAATCTTAGAAGGGAGGTATATTGATTAATGAAGGAAAAGGACAAAAGAAGAGAGAGTTTTGCAACTTCTTATTTGGAATATTAGAAGCAAAATACCTTACAGGGATCCCTTACCCTGACGTGAGATGGCAACATTAGTGTAAACACAATAGTGTGATGTGGTTGGGTAGATAGCAGAACTGGGTAAGTCAGTTTGAATCTTTCTTTCGTTCTGTGTACCTTGAGAGGGATCCAGAAATTGCTTTAGGCCCCATTAAGGATACAAAAAGAGCTGAGATGGGATTAGGTAGCCCTGCTTTAGGGCCTTGGTGGGGACAGACAGGATGGCCTCTCTGAGGTAGTTGCAGAACAATCTCTAGATGGGGTTTGGTGAAAGATTCAGCTGAGAAGCAGAGGGCTGTGCTGCTCCAGAAGGAGGTGAGTCGGCCAGGGAGGTCCTCTGGGTCCCAACCAAATTCTGAAAGCAGAAGTTCCCCAGCTGCTGTCTTCACTAGCGGCAGGGGGTGGGGGGTGGGGGATAAAATACTTGTCCTGTCTTCCCCTGCCATCTAGGGGAAGAGATGGAAGGACGGAGGGAAAGAAGAACTCTGGGAGGGGATTGTCTTTAAATGAATGAAAAAAAAAAAAATCACTGGAAATGAGACTTGAAAGATTGGTGACACAAAATTCTCTTATCTTCAGTGGAAGTGTAGGTTAAGCTAAATCAGATCCATTTATTTGCTCGAGTTTGAGTATTCATATGTCAATATGTTGTGTCTTCATATAATGAATATATGGCATGTGTACACACACATATGTATATATACCTATACATTATATAAATATATAGATAGCTAAATTGTATAGGTATATTTATTCACTTAATAGGTATTGATCATATAATCAAAGAAAACAAAGATAGTGTAACTAGAATAATTCTGGTAATTCAAAGGCATCAGAAATTTCCAGTACCTCCTGGGCCTTCTCATGTCCTCACGTTTTGCTTTTATTTATGTATTACTGTTTGTCCTACACATCTCCTCAATCTTAAATGCTTCAGAATTCATTCTCCTACCCTGTTACCAGAGGACCTCCCTGGCCGACTCAAGCCCTTATACATTGCATTTCTCTCATAGCAGATCCTGGGTGTCCTCCTCTTCTCTCTGTACCAATCATTGCTGCTGTTGTTCAGGTCTTCATGACTTTTCTCAACTCCTGGAAGAGTTTCCTAGCTGCTTGCCATGCTTCCAAGCCACTTGACATCCTCCCTCCTGTCAATTTGCTAAAGGACATATCTGACCAGAGCACTTATTTCCTCTAAAATAACTAAATGATTTCCCATTGATGGACAAGTGCGTTAAACCTACCCGGGCATAAACTGGTTAGAACCCACACTTCAAACTTTTCTTCCCACTTTTCACCTGACTGCAGTCTCCATCATGTTCTAGACTTGCTGCTTTGTGAACATATTTCAACCTGTTTATCGTGTACACACATTTTCTGTTCAAATAGTACCTCTTTCCCAAGGACTCCCTTCAACTCTTCCTCTGTTGCTCTGTTGTTGTTCTTGGTCTGTGTTTCTGCAATACTGCATAGTCTGAGCTATCTAAATGTGGCTGGCTAACTTCCCTTCTAGATTGACAGTTCCTAGAAAGCAAGACCCATTTCTTAATTGTTTCCATTCCTTACTTTACCCAACACAAGGGTCTACATCCAGAATATTTAATAAATGCATGTAAAAGTGCTCTATAAAAATAGCAAAGTACTGTGTAAATAGAAATCATTTAATTTAATTTCATTTTAAATTGAGTTGAATTTACTTTAGGAATTGTGCCATTCTCTGGAAGAAATGATTTTCCCTAATATAACACTACAGGTGGACATATTCCAGGAGGTGGTACAGGGACACTTAGTTTTGGAGTCTTTCTTTCATGGGTATGCCCCAGAGGCCCAGTTTTGTCTAGTATTCCCAATATATTTCTCTGAAGCCTCTGTTTACTTTATACTAAAAAATCACAGACATTACTGGAAAGTTCCTCATCAGGGAAGATCAAAGAAGTGGCACTGTAATAAGAAACAGCAGGCTCTGGGGAGCTGGCCCTGGGCAAGTTTCTACCAGTGCCTTACATGTGGGGCCAAACACCTCTCTGCTGATCCCTGGATAGTAGGCCTGCTATGAATATAGTATGCCTGGCATTTCCTGATACGGGGATTATTTCCAACTCTACGAATTCCATAAATGTTCTCAGGAGCCTTTGGGACATTTAAATTTTAAAAATAAACCTTTATAACACAACACAAATATCCTAGAAATCCATGTGTCAGCTCTTTTCCTTGAAAATACCTGTATGCCCTGCTGTTGCATAAAACAGGAAAGGAACAACCATAAGAGTCTTACTCACAGGAACAAATGCCCCAAGAAGTAGCCATGCAAAATTGGCTCAAATATGGTAAATATCTGACAACTTACTCCTGGAGAGCCTTGGGAAGTTTGGATAACTCAAAAAGAGAAAGAAATGAGAAGGGGAGGAAAAGGAAATTGTAAAAAAGAAAAATAAAGAAGGAGGTAAGGAAGAAGGGAAGGGAGGGAGGAAGGGGTGAAAGGAAGAGGGAAGGGAGAGAGGAAAGAAAAGAAAGAGATAGAAAGAAGTGAGCTCCTCAAGTTGTTACTCAACAATTGGACAAGCGGGGATTTCGTTTGTGAGGCAACAAATTAGCCAAAATCCTTATCTAGGTCACCTCTGGAGTATTCTCACTGGGGACTGGAGTAGGAGATAAAGGTTTTTCCCAATGCCAGATGTGGTGGAATAGCACCCACTCTCCCCTCTCCTGGAGCCACGGGAACATGCAGGGCCATCTTACCTGATACACTGATGGTGGCAGCAGCCTTCGCTGTACTGAATTTCTCTCCATGTCTATTGGTAGCTATGCATGTGTAGAGACCTGGCTTGGTGATAAACAGCTGCAGCCGCGAGTCAATCACTCGGTCTTTCACACTCTCTTGAATGGACCCAGAAGAAACCTGATGGAGTACAGGGAAAAGAAAAAGTAGAACTAGGTCAAGGATTTCCTAATATGTCATACTAGTAAACTAGAAGGGAAAAGCATTGGGATTATGATCAAAAGGCGTGTGGTAGATTGCAAAAGTAGCCAAAAATTTTTCCGGCCCTAGGCCCAGGACCTTACAGTGTGAAAGTAGCTCTTCCCTCTAGAGGTAGTATCTCTTTCCACACTTTGAATCTGGGTTAGTTTGCCACATGTTTTAGGATGGTTGAGCAGAGACTTGTAAAGTTCTTGCATACTGTGGCCTGCTTTCCTTTTGCTTTGAAGCCTGTGACCCCCTGTGAACAAGCCAGTGCTAGCCTGATAGAGGAGAAAACACACACATGGTCATTTACCTCCACTGCTTCAGATAGGAGCCAACAACATCGTTAAACATACGGGTAAGTCTATTCTGGACCACCAGTACACAGTCAAGCTGCTAATCATAGGAGCCAGGCTGGTCAAGATCAGGCAATCTTGACCCAAATCTGCAACCCTAGCCGGCTTGTGGCAGATTAATAAATGGTTATTGTTAAGTCACTAAGTTTTGGGGTGGTTTGTGATATAGCAACAGATACTTAATGCAAAGTATGAAAGATGATGCCCTGAGCAGATCCTCCAAGATGCTTCCTCTATTTCCTGAAGAAAGGGACAGTCAAGTATGAGGGATTACAGATCTCTGGAATTCTTTTCATAACATGTGATCAGTTCTCCATAAATGCATATCAGAAAGATAAATGAATATTTTTTAAAAAATGGTTGCAAAGCCAAGCCTCTCTCCAAGACACAGCATTCATATTGCGGGACTTCTGAAACCAGAAAATCAAATGTCCTTGAAAAACTAGAATATCAGTGCAATATTCGCACACAATTGAGAGGTTAATTGACAGTACTTATTCCATAGTCACCATAACTCTAACTGTATGATAAAGACAGCTGCCCAGCACATTCTACCAGGTTGCAGAGTTAGAATTCGTACCCTAGTTGATCTGATACCAAAGCCCGTGCTTTTAATCATCATATTTCTTAGTCCTTCCCCAGTCCTGGAAGGGAGACAAGTAAGGAGCCATTAGAAATAAGAACAGCAACAGTAACTGTTAAAGTTTGGATCTCAAGTATCCCCTGAAGCCTCCTATGTCAAAGGTTTGGTCACCACTCTGTCACTATTGGGAGGTTAGGGCAGGGCAAGAGGCCTAGTGGGAGGAAATTACAACATTATGGGAATATTGGTCACCCAGGTCTTTCCCTCTTTCTCTCTCTGCTTCCTGGTTGCCATGAGGCGAGCCCCCTCCTCCCATTGCCATGATGTACTGTGGTGCCACAGGCCCAAAGCAACGGGCCCAGGGAACCATGGACTGAAACCTCTGAATCACTGAGCTAAAATAAGTCTTTCCTCCTTTTGAATTGATTTTTCTCAGGCGTTTTCTCACAGTGATAGAAAGCTGACTAACAGAACAACCTCAACAAATCAACCAACGAGGAATAAAATAAAAGTCTGAGATATGTCATGCTAAGGCGGTGGCAGTTTTTGTAATGGTTATTTCTTCATTGTTTTCTTGAGTACTGTACCTACCATCTTTTCAATAATTCTCACTACTTTTATGGGGAAAAGGATGCCAATTTGAGGGAAATTCATGTGAAATGACAATTAAGGAAAAACCCATGGTATGCCTTAGTCTTGCTTGGAGGAGTGTAAATGGGGCCAGAGGGAATCTGAGCCTGGTTACCTTGGAAGAGATTCCTCTAATAGTAGGAAATGAAGCTGAGAAAGAGGAATCTGGAGCCAATTATCTTACTATTTTGCAGGAGAGAGGATTTTCAAAGACTGGCAATTCTCCCTAGCTCCAGGTGGCCCCTGTCCTTGGCACCAAAGCTTTCTCTAGCAATGACGCAGGGAAAATTTGTCCAATTCACTTCTTTCTCTTTTTATTCTCTACCCTCACTACCAGTCTCACCACTAGTCTCCATACCTATGATGAAAACTGGCTTACGTGAGTATCAATTTACCTTAACTGGGGAAAATTCCCGGGTCAGGTCAAGTGTTATGGCATTTTCTCCAGATAAGCAACCTCAAGTGGAAAGAAAAATATCTTTCTGAGATACACCCTAAGTTGGAAATTCTAGTTGAATTCATCACTATCATATTTATCAGAAGTTCAATGTCTTGTGGATCTGAGCATGCAAGTTAGAAAGAACTGAACAATTTGAAGTCTAATTTTGAACTTCCCCTGAATTTGAATACAAAGCAGCAAGGAGAAAAAAAAAAAAAAAAAAAACAATGAGTACAAACCCTATGTTCAACTGACATGCTCTATGCTGTTTCATATTTTGTTTTGTTTTTTAAAATAATCCCATTTCAGTTTGTGTATTACGTGGAATTCGTAGGGCCACTGCTTTCCTCCTTTGCAAATCTGTTTCTCTCCTTCAAGAAGCAGGGCCATGCAATGCCTTGGAGACAACTGAGAAATAAGTAATTCCGAAATGCTGCTTAGACTCCCTCTATTTTCATGTTCACACCTAAGAAAGCCACTGCTAAATACCTCCTCAAGGTCACTGAAAACGTCCTTTGTAGGAAAGAGAAGCAGTTTTTAAGCTGCCTGAGCTCTCTTCTCCTGGATTCCATCCAGGTGTTGAAATAGTTTGGTGAGGAGACCAGCAAATTGGGAGGCTCGCCCCTGCATTATGACGTGGCTCCTAAGTGCTTTTCCTCCTGTGTCCAGAGACCTCACTTGATTCAGTGGGTGACTCATGCACAGCAGGCCTTGTTAGTCATAGTTTGAATTTGTTTTTCTTTCTTCATAGATCATCCTGACCAACAGTTTAGTATTTTTGATGATCTGAAAATAAAAACAACCCTCTGCCCTCTATTTGATTCTTTTTGCCTCCCTGCTTTAAAAGATCAAAGGGACAAGTTCAGATTATCACTGTGAGCTTTCACCAAGATATGCCTAAAAAATACAGAGGACAATGATCCCCCTGTATTCGGGGTGTTATATCTGAGATTGAACCAACTGTGGAGTGAAAATATATTTTTTAAATTGCATCTATACTGAACGTGTACATATTTTTTTCTTTGTCATTATCCCCTAAACAATACAGTATAACTACTGTTTATACAGCATTTACACTGTATTAGGTATTTAAAGTATACGGGAGGATTGCATAGATTACATGCAAATAATACTCCATTTTATATAAGAAAAATGAACATTCAAGGATTTTGTTAACCACAGGGGTCCTGGAACCAACTCCCCAAGGTCCCTGAGGGATGACTGTACTTAATTGAAATGACTCTGTCTGGAGTTTACAGTAAGTACATTGGTTTCTGCAAGTCACTCAGGCACTCTGCCTTGAAGGAGCCATATACACAGCTCTGTGCTCTGGGGATAGGGTTTTGTCTTTTTGGTTAAGGATAGCTTTGTGCGGCCATAGATGTGTTAATTTGATTGACCACACTAATCATTTCACTGTGTTATATGTAAATCAAACCACCATGTTATACACCTTAAAGATGTACAAGAAAAAATAATAAGATTTTTTTTAAAAAGCAGTAAAATAGAAAGTTCTATCAAATAGTCTTAATAACGCACAGCTGAAACAGTGTGTACAAAAACTCTTTGAAGGTGATATAGCAGTCTTGACAAATAGAATATTTTTATGTATCAGTAATAGTTTTTTTTTTTTTTTTTTTGTAGTGCTAGAGATTAAACCCAGGGCCTTGTGCAGGCAAGTCAAGCACTCTACCAACTGAGCTATATACCCAGCCCTCATTAATACATTTAAATTGAGAGATGTTGCTATATCAATTCTGCATAAAATATAGACAAGCCTCCTTTTAAGAATATTAAAAACCACAATCTTCAACATAAATGGTTTGGCTATTTATTTTACAAAATTCCTCTATTAAATTAAGATATTTCAACTTTTAAAATGTCTTAGGAATTACATTTATTGGACAAAGAGAGACATGTAATTTTTCTAAATTTTTAGTTGAATGTGCAAATATCAGAGGTATTATTAACATAACTTTAAATAAATCCAGTTATAAAAATTACAAGGATTTTAGTTTTAAAAAGTAAGCTCTGCACCGTTCACATCAAATTACTACATCAAATTACTTGTAAAAGGAAAATAATATTACCAGTGAGTCTGAAGCTCATCTGTGACTACAAATTTCCATGAAAAAAAAAATTAAAAAGAATGGTATTTCCATAGGAAGAAAGCAAAATATTTCTTAATCATTTTGGAGTATGTTGCTTGACTTTCTCCAGCTCTTGGGCTAACGGTCCAGGGTTTTAATTTACTGGCATGTGCACAGGGTGGGGGTGGAGAAGAGGAGCAGTCCCATCTTTCAGACGGCTGAGTACTTAGGAGTGTGTCCGGAGGTTAGTTTACTAGCTCCTAGTTAGAGTCACAGTTCAAACTGTTTTATTCTGTGCCAACCGTCTTCCAGCTCTATATCTGTCTTCATTCAATACCCTAAAACAATATCAGAGCTGTGGGCTCCTTCATATTCTCTTGGATGCACTTTCTGAGTTGCTACTTTCACAATGTTCAATGCCTGAAATTGCCTCCATTTCCTGTGGTTTGCGTCAGTAAGGGCAAGGGCATGTGGATTTCGGTTTGGGCTTGGGTAGTGTTACCAAGAACTTGGCAGTAAGAACAACACATGCTCTCTGACCATAAGAACTGCGGATATACTTTTGCTTTCTTCCTGAATCAAAGTCACCGTTAGTGTATTTTATTCCTGTTTTAGCCTCAGAGGGGATAGATCTGTTTTGCCTTCAACTTTTGATGAGTCATATCTTGAATGATTAATTTGGGGCTCTTTTATTATTCCTGAACTCCAACAGAGAACGATCATGTATCCTCCACATATCTACTCTCATGCAAGCCTTTTGAAAATACTGAATTTTAAAAAGCACATCTAACCATTTCTTTATTACTGTGAGACAAATTAGTAAAGTTACATGTCAGCCT